GGCCTGTTAACTGGGTCTCAGGATGAAATTTATAATGAAGATGCAACCTGGCACACACTCAGTTCCCTTTGCAGAATCTGTATTAGAATAAATCATATTTCAATCTTTCTAGATGCTGCCTCATTGCAAAAACGGCATACCAAAAAACCAATACTCAATTACATTAAGCGATTATTTTTTTATGCACAGGCATGTGCAAATTCACTCTTGCCCAATTAAATAAAGGCGGTGGCCCCAGGTTTCATGTCCTGACATGCCATTATTTCTTAAAGCAGAATAATTAGCAGTGCTACAAATTCATGAGGTAGGCACCATCCTGTGACAGTGTGTCTGGTCATGTCATGGAAACTGTCTGAGCCTCTTTCCTTAACTGAATTGTCATGGTTCACAGACCAGCTTTACTGTGCTCGAAGACAACAATAGACAAAGGGAAATTAAATTAAAATAGGCAAGTAGGAGAAAAGTTAGGATTTACCAAAACTTACCTTTCAATATGAGCACAAACATGAACTTCAAATAAAACCAAATACAGTCCTGAATGTGAGGCTGATTCCTCTTTGATGCACTACGTGGGAAGGCACACAAAGACACCTTGGATTTCTACGGTTTGATTATACTCTCCAAGTCTAGGATTCTATGATCTAAGACATTTATTCAGTAACTGTTTGGATTCCTTCACCTATAACCAGGGCTCTGGTTGAAAACCAGTGGCTTCCGTGTGCAAAATACCATGCACACGTGTGTGTATTTACTATTTAATTATAACTTTGGGAAGTAGAGATTTAATTGTCAACAAACTAAGAGATTCGATCACCTCTCCAAGGTCACATGTTCGTAAATGACAGAGCTGAGATTTAAACTCAGACCATCTGTCTTCACAACACATGTTCTTAGGCCTCACCATAACGTCTAAACCAGCAGACAGCTCCCCACCGACTATGGCCTATGGCTCACTGCTTTAAAAACAGCATCCAAAAGTCCACAGGGTTAAAAGGGAAAGGACAGGCATCAAACAATACAAATTATCTTATTTTGAGCAGTCCTTCATGAAGCAATGCATTGCATTTGACAGCTGGTGTACAGTTATAAGAACCTATCGGCAGTTTGGACGGATGGGAAAAAAATATGGCTTTGGAGACCAGCTGCTGGGTTCGAGCTACAGCCATCACTTTTCCTAGTAGTCACAACCTTTCCTAATGTGAGAACAGAGGGTTTTGCACCCCCTTGTTGTGATACTCAGGATGTTATTATGCATGTTTATGAATACCGATGCTTTAAACAGTTTGTATCAACATTGATGGATTTCTATTGACTAAACTTTGCCAGAGCCAATTCCATTGAGCCAATTGGAACGGAATTGGTTTCTTAATTGATTTT